CAGTGGCTCATGCTTGTAATCCCAACACCTTGGGAGGCCAAGGCGGACAAATCACGAAGTCAGGAGGTTGAGACCATCCTGGCAAACATGATGAGACCCCATCTCTACTGCAAAAATACAAAAAATTAGCCAGGCATGGTGGCGCCCACCTGCAGTCCCAGCTATTCAGGAGGCAGAGGCTGCAGTGAGCCGAGATCGTGCCACTGCACTCCAGCCTGGGCGGCAGAGCCAGACTCCATCTCAAAAATAAATAAAATTTAAAAATTAAAAAAAAAAAAAAAGGTAGTCTTGCTCCTCTTCTTCCTCTATCAGGAAGGACAAAAGCTAATCCCTAGAGACAACTCTAGATCCTTATCAGCCTGGACGTGGCAGCAGAGAAATCTATATAACAAACTGTACAAACCAACCTTTATCTACTGTTCAAGTCAAATAAAATGTACAGACAAATTTAACACTTTTTGCGGAAGCAAGAATTGCAATTCCGGGCATACACAGAAACAGGGTGATCTTTGGTATGTTCAAAGAACAAAGAGAAGGTTGGAGACTTTATAAAAGGGAGAAATGTTACATGCTGTTTTGAAAGAATGTTCACTGGCACTAGTAAAGTTTTGAGGAGGGGGCAAACTCTGATTGGTGAGTGACTGTGGTGGGTAAAATTAATCTTACAGTCTCAGCAGCTGTTTCAGTAGCTACTAGGTAAAACTGTTTTCAGGTTTTAACAGGCGGTTTCAGTAGTCAGGCTTGCCAAAAATTACATTCTCAGAGCAATGTTATGTGCCCTGTGTGCTTTTTCCTCCTTTCCTCTAAATGCTCTTTTATAATTAAAAAACTTTTTTTAGAGATAAGATCTCCTGCTGCCCAGGCTGGAGTGCAGTGGCACAGTCACAGCTTGCTTCAGCCTTGGCTTCCTGGGCCCCAGCAATTGTCCTGAGTAGCTGGAACTACAAGTGTAAGTAAGCCACCACACCAGCTGATTTTGTTGTTGTTGTTTTTTGCAGAGACGGGAGTCTCCTTACATTACCCAAGCTGATCTTAACCTCCTAGTCTCAAGCAACCCTCCTGCCTCAGCCTCCCAAAGTGCTGAGGTTACAGGCGAGAGCTACCATATCTGGCCTCGACTCTTTTATTTGGGCATGACGAGAATGATGCAATTCATATAATTAACTTTCTTTTTTTTGTATGAGACAGTCTGGGTCTTGTTGCCCAGGTTGAAGTGAAATGGTGCAACCTCGGCTCACTGCAACCTCCACCTCCTGGGTTCGAGAGTTTCTCCTGCCTCAGCATCCCAAGTAGCTGAGATTGCAGGCAGCACCTGCTACCACACCTAGCTAATTTTGTTGTTGTTGTTGTATCTTTAGAAGAGATAGAGTTTTGACTGGGCGCAGTGGCTCACGCCTGTAATCACAGCAATTTGGGAGGCCAAGGCAGGCAGATCACGAGAACCAGAGATCGAGACCATCCTGGCCAACATGGTGAAACCCCGTTTCTACTAAAAACTACCAAAAACTAGCCAGGCATAGTGTTACGCACTTGTAGTCCTATTTACTTGGGAGGCTGAGGCAAGGGAATTGCTTCAACCAGGAGGCGGAGGTTGCAGTGAGCCAAGATAGTGCCACTGCACTCCACCCTGGCAACAGAGCAAGACTCTGTCTCAAAAAAAAAAATAAATAAATAAAAAAAAAAGAAGAGATGGGGTTTCACCATGTTGGCCAAGCTGGTCTCAAACTCCTAACCTCGGGGGATCACCTGCCTCGATCCCCCAAAGTGCTGGATTACAGGTGTGAGCCGCTGTGTCTGGCCGATTAACTTTCATGCTACCTATTGTTTACTATATATTTGCCTTCCCACAGTTTGCTGCCTCTAGAGACTCAAGGCCCTTTTCCTTTGTCTTGTCACTTCTCTAAAAATTTATAGCTCCTTTGCTAAGATGCTATATAAAACAAGTCCAAAACAAACCTTTGAGTTACTCATTTCTGGGCTCTCCATATTGCATATTCAGTACACATGTTAATAAACTTCTATTTTTATTTTGTTAATCTGTTATTTTGTTGTTGTTCTGTTAATCTGTCTTTTGTCAGTCTAATTTACAAGGCCCCAGTGGAGAACATAAGATGAGTAGAGGAATTGATTATTCCTCCCCCACAGCAAGTTCTCACTCTGTTGTTCAGGCTGGAGTGCTGTGGCATGATTATAGCTCACTGCAGCCTCAAACTCCTGGGCTCAAGTGATCCTCCCACTCAGCCTCCCAAGTAGCTGGGACTACAGATGCATACCACCATGCCTAGCGAGGTTTAAATAAAAATTTTTTTCAAGACAAGGTCTTGCTATATTGGCCAGGCTAGTCTCAAACTCCTGGGCTTAAGCACTCCTCAGCCTCCCGAATAATTGGGATTACAGATGTGAGCAAATGTGCTTGCCTGCCTTCTTTTTAAAGGGTGAATAATATTCCATTGTATGTACATACCACATTTTCTTTATCCATTCATGCCTAGATGGACATTTAGATTGTTGATAAGAATGTTACTTTCCTCCTGGTATTGGAAAGACATCTTCCAAATGGAGATTTTTATCTCTTGTTTTCAGGAAGACAATGGGGAGGATCAGAGTGACTTTCTTGTCCCTGCTGGTTTTTTAAAGTGCCTTTAGCTCAAAGTAGTCCTCATCCCAAAGTGGCATATTTGGGGTGGTGTGTTCTGAGCTCCTTCAGCATAATTGAAATTCAGAAGAAAAGACACAAGAGAATGTAGGAGAGCAATTCTGAGATAGCCGAACATTTTCTAAAATTGAATAAAAGACACAAATTTGAAATTTGGGGAGCACAACAAATCTCAAGCAGGCGTAAACAAAATTCAATATCTGGACACATTGTAGTCAAACCACATGACACTGTCATCACCCAATGGGTTCTTCTTGCCCACTGCAGAGACAAAACCAATTCACTGAGATCATACTATTGCAGTAGAGAAAGAGTTCAATTAACAGTCCTAGCAGGAGCGTTGGTGCTATTACTCAAATCAGTCTCTCCAAGAACTCAGAGACTAGGGTTTTAATGGATGATTTGGTGAGTTGGGGGCTAAGGAAGGGGGTTGCTGATTGGGGATGAAATTATAGAGTTATGAAAAACAGTCTTTATGCACTGAGTGTGGCCTTTGGGTGAGGGCCACAGGACTAGTTGACTCATGAGTCACAGGTCCTGGTGGGATCAATTGTTTGCCAGAATGCAAAAGTCTGAAAGAACATCTCAAAAGACCAATCTTAGGTTCTATAGTAGTGATGTTCTGTATAGGAACAATTGGGGAAGTCACAAATGTATGACCTCTAGCCACATGACTCCTGAACAGCAAGGGATTATAGAAACTATGCTTACATTTAGCAGAATTTGGGTTCCTCCCATAATCCTAATCTCAGACGTCCATTAGTTTTACAAAGGTGGCATTGCTCCCTAGCAGGGCAGAGGTCAGTCTTAGAGAGGGGTTATTATCATCCTTGCTTTAAACTATAAACTAAATTCCTCCCACAGTTAGCTTAGTTTGTGCCCAGGAATGAGCAAGGACAGCTAGCCGGTGACTCTAGAAGCAAGATGGAGTCAGCCATGCTAGATGTCTCTCACTGTCACCATCTTCGCAAAGGTGGTTTCAACAAAAAGGACAAATATCTGAAAAGCAACCAGAGTGTTGGATTACTTCAATCATTTTCCTGATGAACAGCCCTCAGTGCCTTGGCTTTGCCTGGTTAAAATTAGGGTATTCTCCAAATTTCCATTCAGAGATCATGGCATATTTTCAAGAAAACAGGAATGGAATAAGACTAATAAGTAGAAATTTAGCCAGGCCAACATGGCAAAACCCTATCTCTACTAAAAATACAAAAATTATCCAGGCATGATGGTGCACACCTGTAGTCCCAGCTATTCGGGAGGTTGAGGCATGAGAATCGCTTAAACCCAAGAGGCAGAGGTTGCAGTGAGCCGGAATTGCACCACTGCACTCCAGCTTGGGTGATGGAGCAAGATCCTGTCTCAAAAAAAAAAAAAAGACTAATGAGTAGAAATTTCTAGTTTCAATGGCTGTGTAAGGTGTGATGCAGCTGGTATGAGTAAACTACTTCTTAAATTTGATTTTTAAAAGGGCGCTGGATGATGAAAATTAAACAGTACTTATCCGACACTGTCCAAGAAGAAACACGAATATTCTGGGCCACTAGAGAGGTTTGCAGTATGGCAGGGAAGGGATGTTCTGTACCTGGTAACACTTCCTTCTAGACATGCTACTCACTTTGCCAAAGGGAAAGTTAAACTTGGGAATCGAGACACATAAAAACTGCCTTCCTTTTGTTCTCAAACATAGCTGTAATTTCAAGTGGTTGCTTCATCTTCTGTAAAATGTAGACTTACTGAGCATGAGACAAATGCATCATTGACTTTCCCTCCATTCCCTTCTTTTCATGTGCTAAATGTAGATTCACTGATTACCAATGAGAGCTCACAAAAATGTAACCACGTGCCTCACTACTGTCTACCCCCCATCCTGCTTGCTCTTTCCCCTTTAAATACTGAAGCTCCCCAAACCATCTTTTGGAAAAGCACAGGACAGGTCCTCCTGTGACTCGTGTTTCTTTTTCCCCGGGCACGTCCTCAGCCATGGCAAAATAAACCTCTCATGGATTGAGTGCTGCTTCAGTCACCTTTTCATTTACACTTTTAACCTTTTCTGATGTCATCCTCAAGGACATTTCTTTCATGAACATGTGAAAAATCAAACTCTACAAAGCAGCTGTTCATTCCCTTGAATCGTGACACTTAAATAACATCACAACTAAGAGAGCTGCTTTCTCAGCACAGCCGTTCAGAACCACAAGATTTCAGAGGTAAAAAGCAGGGGGAACACACACTAAATTTCTTGGAAGATTTTTTTATTCTCCTTGCCAACATTTCTTTTGCCATTTTATTACTTAATTTTGTGACATTAAGAAATAATTTGGCTTCATATTACTTTTAAAAGGCAGTAAGAAAGTATCTATTGAGAAGGAAGGTCTATAGGTTTTTTTTTTAATAAAACATTAGAAACATTATAAAACATGAGACTCCCATTACATGGAAATACATGATCAAAGATCGGACTAACACACATTCACACAGGCTCTGTTCGAAATAGAGTTCTCCATTTCTTTCTGATTAGCCTTTTTTCTTAGGCTCTTTCAGAAGCAATTCACAATGAACAGAGGTCTTGCCAGCTCATTTCATTAGTGGAGAAGCAAAGGTATGATGACAGAATCATGAGAAGATGGAAATAAAGCCTGAGGATATGGCTTGATCTTTGAGACCAATTATCTTTGAGTTATTCAAGCCAGGATAGAAGCTTAGAGAGGATCGAAGCAAACCATGAGGGAAAGGGAACGCAGGTCAATCCCCATTACTGGCTTTATCACAAGCTCCAAAGTGATCTTCCAGCCCCACTTTGCAAGGTTGAAAGTTAAATGAGGAAGGAGCCTGCATTGTTTGTGACATAATACAATACTTTCACTTTGTTTTCTTTTTTAATGTGCAGCTCTTCAAGAATTTCATTTTAAAAAGTAATCTGTAAGGGAAGAAAAAAATGCACTTAATTCAAACACTGATTTTGTCTTTTTGAGATGGAGTCTCACTCTGTTACCCAGGCTAGAGTGCAGTGAATCTCAGCTCACTGCAACCTCCACCTCCTGGGTTCAAGAGATTCTCCTGCCTCAGCTCCTAAGTAGCTGGGATTATGGGTGCCTGCCACCACACCTAGCTAGTTTTTTTGTATTTTTAGTAGAGACAGGGTTTCGCCATGTTGGCCAGGCTGGTCTCGAACTCCTGACCTCAGGTGATCCACCCCCCAAAGTGCTGGGATTACAGGTGTGAGTCACCAAAGTGCTTGGATTACAGCGCCCAGCTGAAGATTGGTTTTCATATAAACAATTCCAAGTAAAATATCTAATGATGACAATCTGACGCAAATGACAATCATATGCCAGATGCTTGTCAGAAAATATATATGTATAATTTTAGGGATGTTACCATCCTCTGTGAGAAATACCAGCACAAACCCACCTGACCCCTTCTCCCCAAAACAACAGTGACAACAAACCTTTCACAGCACGGGTGAACTTGCTCTTCTGCTGACTTACTTTCAACTCGGGTTTCTGATCCTTGTCGTGTACTTGTCTGGGCTAGAAGCGGTCATTACCGTTGTATAGACTGTGAGGCTGAAAATAACGAGAGAAAATTTTATGTACACATCATTTTCTCTAATATGCCAGGCTGGAGTGCAGTGGTGCGATCTTGGCTCACTGCAAACTCTGCTTCCCGTGTTCAAGCGATTCTCCTGTCTCAGCATGGTGGTATGCCACTAGGGAGGCTGAGGCAGGAGAATCGCTTGAACCTGGGAAGCAGAGGTTGCAGTGAGCTGTGATTGCACCACTGCACTCCAGCCTGGGCAACAGAGTGAGACTCGGTCTCAAAAAAAAAAGTCAGACTCCTCAGAGCTCTACCCTAAGGCAGTGGGGTAGACAAAGCCTTGGCCCTCGCCCTTGCTCTGTCCTACCCCCAAGGGCCTTACTTGCATACATGTGACATCACTGCCTTTGCATTCCCCACCAAGCAGCTACCCCCGGGCTCTTCTTCAGTGGTTGTGCACCCCCATCAGGAGAATACCACCCAGGGGAGAGGACCACAGAAATCCTGGAAGTGGAGGTGGGGCTGTTCAGGCTGAGAACTATAGTGTCCTGGGTACTTGGGAAGACTCCAGGTGGGCAAATGCCCTTGGCCTAGCAGATTCCTTATACCATGGTTTGAGGGGGCAGTATCACAACTAGAGGAATTCCAGAGTGGGGCCTCTGAAGCTCCAGGATCAAGACACCCACCCCACCCCTCCAACTTGCCCAGATCTAAGGATGAAAACTATAGTGTCATTGATTCCACATTCCGTATAGCAAGTTGCTTGAGCTTGGAGGTTGCGGCTGCAAGTGAGCCGAGCACATGTGCCTAAACACCTAAACAACTTGAGCACATGTGCCCACATGCACACACACTTGTCTTGGAATCCAGCTGAGATGCATGTACAAAATATCAGAGCTGGGTTGTTCAGAAACAGGCAGAATTAGTAGCACTGGGCCCACAGCTAAATCATACACCCAGTTAAAGACAGCGCTATAAGCAAGTGCAGAGCTCGTCCAAGGGTAATGGAGATTCCCTAAACATGACCTTAGTTGCTTGTTTACTTTAGTCATAGTTCTATTTTCCATCACTGTTTTAATATTTTCTCTGCTGATAGCCACAGAAGAGGATGCAGTTGTATTGCAGGCGGGTGTTATTTTGCAGCACAACACAAGGGGGCAGCATAGAGCTAACTGCCTTTGTACAGACTTTGTTGTTTTTCTTTTTTTTATTTTCAGATACAGCTACACTTATTTCTATTAACCTCACACAACTGAACAGCTTCAGCTGAGGTTAATCATTGCAATGATTAACCAATGTAAAGGGCCTGAGAGTCAGAAGTCTGTGTTAATTCTGGCTCCAAGGTGAGTGTTATTTAAATGCAGTTTCTCTTGAGTTTTCAAGTATACAACAGAGAAAAATACTACTTGGCAAACTGTTTATAATTTCTAACCATTTTATTTTGACAAAACCATTTCAGAAATCATTTAAACATTCATAGCCGTTAACTCAGTAATTCTACTTCTGGAAATTCAGCCAAGGGAAACAATCTGAAAGTAAGTAAGCAGGGGAGAGGCGAATGAATATGTTTATTTCAGAGTTTCAATAGAGGAAAATCTAACAACCGGAGAATGCTTAACTCAATTATAATGCAGCCCATTGGCCACTATGCCGCCATGTGAAATTATAAAGGCTGCTCAAAGCATAGAAAATGCTCCGTTTTATTTAAATAAATATAATAACGATTTTATTATAACACTAGTTTTTAAAAGATATATTCATCACTTCTATAATTGCCTAAAAAAACTGTAAGAACACAAATATAGTTTTTTAACCCTCATTTAATAAATGACTATTAAAAGGGCAAAATTGTGCCCTGCTATGAAGGGTACAGTCAATGGTGCATTGGAGCGGTCTCCTACAGGCTGGTGACGACCAATTAGTAAATATGCAGGAAGTGTATGAGCCAACTATAAGCCTCAAATCAGCCTTGGTGGGAGCAGTCACACCATGGAAGTCAACAAATGCTACAAATCTAGGAATTATTTTTGTTTGTACCCTCCCACACAAAGAGCTGGTTTACTAGCAGACCACTGGGTATGCTTTGTTACTCAAATAGCTCATCTGTTTGAGTAGTAGAATATTGACTAATTAGTTTTTCCTTTTTTTTGAGACAGAGTCTCGCTCTGCTACCCAGACTGTGGCATGATCTCAGCTTTCAACCTCCCAAGTTCAAGGGATTCTCTGGCCACTGCCTCCCAAGTAGCTGGGATTACAGGCATGCACTGTCACGCCTGGCTAATTTTTGTATTTTTAGTAGAGATGGGGTTTCACCATGTTGGCCAGGCTGGTCTCGAACTCCTGACCTCAAGTGATCCGCCCGCCTCAGCATCCCAAAGTGCTGGGATTACAGGCGTGAGCCACCACTCCCAATCTGCTTTCACAAAAGAAAAGAAAAAAGGGAAGGGAAAGGAGAGAGAGGAGGGGAAGGGAGGGAAGGGGAGGGGAGGGGAGGAGAGGGGAGGGGAGGGGAGGGGAGGGGAGGGGAGGGGAGGGGAGGGGAGGGGAGGGGAGGGGAGGGGAGGCTCTTCTCACCTGATTTATAGTTGTTTAACACCCAGCTTCCACCCCACCCCATATTAGTCCCATGAGAGCAGAGACTTTCTTTTGCTCCCTGCTATACCCACAGGAGTGCCCCCACAGCCTGGGTACAGGAGGCCTCACATCCTTGCTGAGCCCAGGAGTGTGTGAGTTCAGTGCTTTGGGGTGCTGTGTGAATAGACACGTTTAACAAGTCACTTACTTGTTATAAACTGGAACCACTGACAAAACCTGCATAGGAAAAAGTCATATTATAGAGAAGATTAAATGGTAGAAGAGACACACATAGAATATCTATGTGGGGGCCGGGTGCAGTGGCTCAGGCCTGTAATCCCAGCCCTTCGGAAAGCAGAGGTGGGAGGACTGCTCAAGCCCACAAGTTCAAGACCAGTCTAGACAACATAGAGAGACCCTGTCTCTACTAAAAAAGGAAAAAAAGGAAAGTCTATAGAAAGAACACAAGAACTCTTTAGTGTATCTTGAGGTGATAGTCGCAGACTTTCTTTTTTGAGACAGTCTTGCTCTGTCATCCAGGCTGGAGTGCAGTGGTGTGATCTTGGCTCATTGCAACCTCTGCCTCCCAGGTTCAGTGATTCTCCTGCCTCAGCTTCCCAAGTAGCTGGGATTACAGGCACACACCACCATGCCTGCCTAATTTTTACATTTTTTAGTAGAGAGGGGGTTTTACCATGTTGGCCAGGCTGGTCTCAAACTCCTGACCTCAAGTGATCCTCCCGCCTCAGCCTCCCAAAGTGCTGAGATTATAGGCATGAGCCACCACACTCAGCCTCACTTTAAAGAGATTTTAAAGGGAAAGTACTAATTGATACTACAGAATATTGGATGGATCCAGAAGGTGAAATGAAACCAGGAAGAAAAGGTATTTATTTAAATCCAGAACAATGGATCCAGCTGAAGGAACAGATTTCTGACATTGATGATGCAGTAAGAAAACTGTAAAATCGGAGCCATATAAAACCTGTACTGTTCTAGTTGTTTTAATCTGTCTTTTTACATTGGCTTTTGTTTTCTAAACATTGTTCTCCAAGCTATTGTATGTTTGAATTGCAGAAGAATTTGTAAAATGAATACTTTTTAAAAATATGCACTGTTAAAAATGTTGAGTGAAGGTAATTGTCAACCTTATTAAGGAGGATTGCTTTGTGTCCACCACCTAGTGTAAAATAAAATCAAGTAATCCAATCTTTAAAAAATATTCTTTAATTCTCTTTTTTTCCTTAAACAATGAACACATATTACAACTATGCCTTTTTCTTTTTAATATGAAGAAAAACTTAGGTGAAGTGGACATTGTAACTTATATAGAACCAAGTTCAGAAAATGTTATATGACTTTTCATAAATGTCTTAAACCAAATAAAACTTTTATCAAATAAAACATTTTCATCTACCAGATTTGTTTGATTTCAGAGGGGTTTTTCATATTCTCTATTAACAAAACAGCAAACATGCTGGGTAAGCCGGACATACACAAGTTACCTGGAAAAGTGCCTCCAGGCTGAGGTTTGCTTGTCCTGTGGCATTAAGGGCCTTGATGGCAGGTGTTCTGTAGAACAATGGTCAAAGGTCACTTGGCACTTCAGCAAGCCCTGAAGCCCATCAGCTGTCATTTTTGGGAGGCACAATGCAAGCTCTGGTCCCATTATCTCCCTTTCTCCAAAACAGATTCCGGCCCCAGGCCTGTTTCCCCTAAGGCCCAGCCCACCACGGGGGAATTCATCCAGCAGCTGGGCTGGTTGGCCCCATCTGCTCAAGAAAGCTGGGATGATGAAAATGTGTGGCTGCAGAACTGAGCAGTGCCCAAATTTGTGGGGCACAAAGCCAAGGCAACGTGTATAGCTACCTGCACTTTGGAACTGTGCTGACTTATAATTACAATGTTTACAACTTGAAGGGACAATTAAAGCCCGTGACTGGTTTATTTATTTATTTATTTGAGGGCAGAGTCTTGCTCTGTCACCAGACTGGAGTGCAGTGATGCGATCTCGGCTCACTGCAACCTCTGCCTCCCACGTTCAAGTGATTCTCCTGCCTCAGCCTCCCAAGTAGCTGGGATTACAGGCAGGCGCCACCACCCCCTGCTAATTTTTGTATTTTTAGTAGAGATGGGGTTTCACCATGTTGGCCAGGCTGGTCTCGAACTCCTGACCTTGTGATCCACCCGCCTTGGCCTCCCAAAGTGCTGGGATTAGAGGCATGAGCCACCGCACCTGGCCGACTGGTTTATTTATATTTAAATAAGAGAAATAATTTCCTTCTAAAAACATCTTGCCTAGAACACCATGAACCTGGCCCTTTGCTTTCATTTTACAGATTGGTAAACAGAGGCCTGAGAGCCACCCAGTGAGTCATTAGCAGAGCTGGTGGTGGGCTGTAGGGCTCCTGACCCTGAGATCCTCCCAACACTCGCCCAGCTGCTGAGAGGCTCTGCCCACTGCTTTCCTCCACACAACGCTCCCTTCCTGGCCAAGGCACTGGCGAAGGGGCTCAGGTACGTTTTCTGGGAGAGGACAGCACCTGTAGCTCTTGCCAGTGCCTGGGACAGAATGGGCGCATTCTCCTGACCACAAGAAGACACTGCCAACCGGAAAGCACATAGCAGCCTACCTCCGGTCGTCTTGTTTGGGTGCTGGCTGCCAGTGGTCGTAATTTGTCTCAACTCGGAACCACCTAAAACAGAGCACATCATCTTGTCTTATCCAAGGCAATTTACAACATAGCAAAGGAGATATATTAGCAGATTTAAAATACCCCTTATTTCACCAATTTAAAAAAAATAATTTGATACAAAATGACCAGAGCTTTCAATTCTACTTACCCTCCATTCAAAGGATCTAGAGGCCAAATGTCTGCTGGGCCATCTCTGTTTCTTGTGATGACCACTCCCTCCTGGGGGGACGTGCCACCAACAATGTAATAAACATCAGCAATAAGGGGAGTCTTGGCCAACCTGGCAACAGCTGCTTCAAAGTTTTCCGACTCATTCAGGGTCTGAACAAAAAGACGAACTTGCATGAGCAACCTCACCAGCGGTTGGGTCCACACCAGATGATGCAAAAAGGATCCAAAGCACATTCTCCTGATATGTCACGCCATGACTATTACCTTGAACTGCTCTGACCTTATCCTCTTGTCATCAGGGCTCCTAAGATGGAAGAAATCTCAGCTTCAAAGGGGAGCCTGTAGCAGCAGGAATTTCTGACAGGCTGCTGACAAGCCCTAGGCCTGGCTCAGCCCCCACGGGCTGTGTGCTCTCCGGGCAGATTGCCCTCACAAAGGACTCCTCGCGCTTCTTCATTGATTTATTATTTTAACAGGTTTTTCTTGAATACCTACTGTGTGCCAGGCACTGTGCTGGTTTGGGGATAAAGCAGTGAATGAGTTGCCTGGTCTTGTTCTCCCCAAACCTCTGAGGAAGACAGAAAAGTCAATGGGCAATAGTGACACAATGTAATGAATGTTCACACAGGAGAAGAGGATGCTAAGGATGTCACAGCAGGGGACCCATCCTCACCAAGGGCAGTAGAGGAGGTACTGCAAGGAAGCATCACATGAACTGAAGCCAAAGAGACAAATGGAAATGAGTGGTGAAAGTGGTGGTTGCAGGGTGAGGAGGGGAAGAAAGTGTTTTGTCCGATGGACTAGACTAGCAAAGGCTTGGCGATGAAAGAGTGTGTGCTACATTAGGGCGCTGAGCTTAACTGGTGCTCAGACACCCTGAGGGCCCACGAAGACTTCCAAAGGCCTGTGGCAAGGATACTTAAGGGGATCACTCCCCAAATCTTCAGCTTCCACCTGGGCACCTTCCAAGAGCTGATCTGTTCAAGATTATCCTTCAGTGAAGGGACTGCTCTTCCCGTCTCCACCTTCACAACCACTCTGCTGCCATGTTCTAAAGGAAGTACATTGTATGCTCACCCATCCTGGATAATGCCAAGGCACACTGTCAAGGGTGGAGGTGGTGACAGGGTCAAACAAAAGAATAATTCGAGATATCTGTGTCTGCAAAGGCTCCATTATTCAGCATCATAAACCCTAACAGCAATAAGTAAAAGGCAGGAACACTCTACAAAACCCATGTCAGGGCTTTGTAGTTTTCCTGCCTTATACTTACTGCTGTTAGGGGTGAGGTATTCCAGCCATAAAACCGAAAATTATTACTCTAACATTCCCTTCATCTTTCTGTGTAAAAACTGGCCATAAAAAAATGATCTGTCCTGGCCAGGCATGGTGGCTCATGCTTGTGATGCCAGTACTTTTGGAGGCCGAGGCAGGCAGATCACTTGAGGTCAGGAGTTCGAGACCAGCCTGAGCAACATGGTAAAACCTTGTCTCACTAAAAATACAAAATTAGCCAGGTGTGGTGGCATGTGCCTGTAGTTCCAGCTATTCAAGGAGGCAGAGGTGGGAGAACCGCTTGAACCCAGGAGGTGAGGGTTGCAGTGAGCCGAGATCACGCCACTGCACTCCAGCCTGGGGACATAGTGAAACCCTGTCTTAAAAAAAAAAAAAAAAAAAAGGAATGATCTGTCCTAACTTGTTTGACTGTAGGTCATATGATCCCCTTTCCAGAGAGGATCCTGCCCTGTATCCAGAAGAAGGGAATGTATGCTCAGAGAGGCCAAGAAGAATCTAGACACACAGGCCTAGCTGGGTTTTCCCCCTCCTTCTACTAGCACTTGGTCTACTTTTTTGTCCAATCATATTTTGATATGGCATTCCACACCTTGTTAAACACAAGCATAAAAATGGACAATGTTGCCTGTATCTTTGGGTCTTCGTTCCAAAGACTGCTATGTCATATACATGTTAAATAAATTTGTATGCCTTTTCTCCAATTAATCTGCCTTTTGTGAGTTGACTTTTCAGTGAAACTTCAGAGGGCAAAGAGGAAATTTTCCCTTGGCCTTTGCAGAGGTAATAGGAGGGATGGAATATTTGTTTGCTTATGTTGCCTATAACATCCCCCAACCACTATCAAATTCATTGCCTCTAACCCGTGACAACAAAGTAAAAGGACATCAATAAAAAATACTGAAGGCCGTGGTGACTTATTTTACCCAGGTGACAAAGTCACGGAGTGCAAATGCCTCATCTGTCTCAGGAAATGGAAGAAATGGGCAGTGACTGCTAATGGACATGAGATTTCTTTCTTCTTTTTTTTTTTCTTTTTAAATTTTATTTATTTACTTTTTTTCTTGGGTTCCCACTATGTTGTCTGCTGGACCTGAACTCCCGGGCTGGAGGGATCCTCCCGTCTCTGCCTCCTGAGTGTCTGTGACTGTGGGCACCACCGCACGCAGCAGATTCATCCTTCCAGAGATCATAACAACCTCAGCATATGGACTTCTTTTCTTTCCTTATCAAGTCAAGAACTTTCACCTTTTTGATACAGGAGATAGAAATA